CTTTGATTACACAGGCGTGCGTCAAAATCTTTGCCTTTTTTGCCTGGCACACCCAAGCAGATTACTTCCCCACCTGGTTCCTCCAAAATTTCCTCTGCTCAGACACGTCCTCCTTCTCCTGGCAACATCCGACCAGTCAAAAAAGAGGTCAAGCCAGAGGGTGAGAAGAAAAGACCAGAAAAAGAGGCTGGAAAGGCCAATGAGGAGAGGACAGAAGAAAGTAAAGTAACTTCAGCAGGTGCTGGAGAATCTGCAAGTCAGGAGCAGCTCACTGTCCAGGCAGAGCCCACTCAAGGTAAGGAGAGATCTTTCTTTAGGTAAAGGAATGTGTTAGTCTCTCTTATATTCTTCCCTCCTTTTCTCTGCAATGATGTAGCTTTCAATAGTTTTCTGTCAAATGTTAATTGAAATTATTCAGAGCACTCCTGCACATGTATGCTATGAGGAAATTGTACACAGGTCGAAGCCCTCCTGCTTCTAAGTCAAAACAACATGCAGAGCTACCTCACACAATGCCCTTTTGGACTGGAATTTTGTCCCCTTTATCATAACACAGCTCCTTTATAAACAGTTGAATAATAATAACGATCTGAATACTAATGGTACAGGAGGCTACCACATAAGGTAGTGTGAGCAGTGAGAATGTCCAGCTCTGCTGGACACTCAGTACAGTTGTGCTACTAACACTGTTAACTTATCTATACTATTGCAGGAGGACCGTATCATGGGAGAAATTAGCAGGATAAAGTGGAATGCAAAGAACCAAGGAGAGGAGTAAAGAGGAATAGGCAGGATTTTTCAGGAAAAGCAAACAAACCAACCAACCAACCAAAAGCCCACATGAAACCCTACGAACCCTGAAAAACAGCAGGGAAGAAAGTTATGTACACAAAAAAATAAAATAATGATCATAAAGTATAGAAAGGGCAAAAGGTAAATTTGAAAATGAAAAAATACAGGTTTGTTGTGGCAGACTCTTCAGTCCATTGTAAATATGGCATAAACTGTCTCTTGCAGATGGGATGGGAAGTCCATTGTGACCACCGGAATACACAAGTTGGGTTAGTTAGGATTCTGAACTTGAAATTTGTAGAATCCCCTGTGATTGTCCTTCATACGGCAGTTTTAAGCATTAGTAATACTGCATTTAATTGTGAGACGTGTAGTTGGGTCTTGTTCCGTGAGACAACCTCATGTGAATGGATTTCTTATGTTCTAGTAAGTTCTGTCTGATACCCAGGTCCTACTGCACAAGGTGGAACCCCATGAAAAGCTAGAAATTTACAATAATAAATGAATATGTCTGTTGACCATGGGCGTGTAAAGGAGATGTATCTGCCATGTTAGTGTGGGTTTTTACTGCTCTTCTGATAATCTTTCACCTGCTTTCTTTTAAGGAGAAAATTCCCTTTTAAAACTATTTCAGGGATGCCACTTGGATAACTTTGCAAGTGTTTACAAGTTTTAGTTCCCCAGTACAAGGTGCAGATCAGAGAAACATCATCATGTTTATTTGACAGTTTAGTTCAGGAGGAAGAGGCTCCACTTCTTTGCAGAGTCAGTCAAGATTTGAATTTGTGACGAGGTCTCTTAGTATTGAAACGGGTTATGTGTGATAAAGGTATTGAAAAGTGACGTAGTCTATATTCACAGCAATGAATACAGAAAAGAATACAAAGTGGAGATGAGTGGAAAAAAAAAAAAAAAAGGATATTATAGTCAAAGTGGCAAGCAACCACTTCAAATTAAATGTCTTTTCCCAAAGCCAGAGGAGGTAGTGGTTGGAACTAAAGATGGAGACCTCAGGAAAAGCATTTTACATGTGAGGTTAGAGGACAGGCTTCGTACTGCAGATGAAGGCCCCAGCTGCTAAAACTTAGTCACTGGTTGCATTCAGGAATCTAGAGATTCACAAGTACGGCATTTGGGGCTTAAAAGAATGTTGCTGATTCTCCTGGGACTCTGTTGCAAGTCAGTATAGCTCATTTCTTACAGTTAATAGCACTGGCCTTTAACTGGTCTTGCTCAGCTACCTGCTGGAGGAGCCAGAAGGTCAGCAGGTAGCAATTGCCAACGAAGCTGTTCGAGCTTTTGCAGGCAAATTTAACACAACTTTACTAACACCAATGAATTCATAGAATCATAGAATTAACTGGGTTGGAAGAGACCTTCGAGATCATCAAGTCCAACCCTTGATTTAACCCCACTGTGATTACTAGATCATGGCACTCAGTGCCACATCCAGCCTCATCTTAAAAACCTCCGGGGACGGTGAGTCCACCACATCTCTGGGCAGGCCATTCCAATGCCTGATCACTCTCTCTGTAAAGAACTTCTTTCTAATATCCAACCTAAACCTTCCCTGGCAGAGCTTAAACCTGTGCCCTGTTAAAGTTTTAAAGGTCTTTTGGGTGTTACCTTTTCTGACAGCAGGGCAGGTGTGCATTAAACAAGCTACTTGTTCTGCTGCCAACTTCAGTGCCTGAGGCAAGAAGTGAGCCCCAAGCAGCACAAAGCTGTGCTCCCTTCAAAGCAATGGCCCGGCCTTGGCCCATGTTAGTAAATTAAAAAGAGCTGAGGTGTAGGAACTCTGCCATTTATACTGTTTAACAATTACAAACGCTCTCTGGTATGTTTCTGATTCAGGCTGTAGTTGCAGCCTCTCATTTTCTTACCTTCTGTCCCCAAGGCTACCTAGAGCATGGCTCTAAAGGGCTCTCACAATTTAGTGTGATCGAATTACTTTCCTTTTTATATTTGAACATTCCAGAATTCTCTGAGTTCCCAGATACATCTTGGAGCTTAGCCGAGGTCCAGCTTGTTCTGTGGGGTTGGACTGAATACCTGTTTTGGTAATGAGAGAATAGTGCTCTATTGCTCTAGTGCTAAACTGTGCCAGCTCACCTCAGGGCTAGAGAACAGGCCCTGGCACTCTTTAAATTACTGGTGTGGTAATTTAAAATTCAAGTTACATTTGAATTCAGGGTGAAAGCCCTGAAGCAGTTTTAGAAAGACCTGTGTAGTTTTTAGTTGATAACAGAAGAGAGCAGAGAGGTCAGCAGATGTGAATTCAGCACAGAAAGCAGATGAATTTATGTTTGTATACATGACAAGGTATGGGGGGGGG